CCCCCCCCCCCCCCGGGAGAAAGGGACGGGGGGTACCGGCCCGCCGAGAGCTGCGGGGAAGGGGAGCGAGCAGGCGGCCCGACAGGGCTGCGACGGGGCCCCTACCGAGGTCTTGGCCACGTTGCCGCGCTGCGTGATGTTTTTGCTGTGCTTCTCGTTGGCCATCCGGATCCGCTGCTTCGCCACCATCTTGACTGCTGTTGCCGTCCCCGCCGCCTCCGTCTGGCACTCGCCGAGCGACGCCGCTCTCGGGCTGTGAAAGCTCCGCGCCGGGGATCACGGGAGGACCGTCCGCCCCTCGCCTCTCGGGCTCTTCCCAGCCAAGGCGCCGCGTAAGCAGCAACTGCCCTTTACGCTAATCCCACCTCCGGAAGCGCGTTGCCCAGCGGCGGAGAAGCGGGCTGGCGGGAGCGCCGTCACCCCCGGAAGCGAGACTCTCCTCGAGCCTCCGCTCTTCACGCTTTCGTCTGAAAAGTGTAGTTGACAGAGCTCCCGCCCTCTGTCGTTATTGTCCAATGGGCGCTGAGCTTACTGGAAGAGCCTGTGGCCAAGCGCTCTCGTGGCCAGGTGATCCAAGGCACTCCCCTTCAGCTTGCAACACGTCACCCGGAAAAAACTTCGCTATTGAGCTGGCGGTGGAGGGCAGAGCAGACGTGTACAGTTTTCTGCTGTGACCCTCTGTGCGCCACCCGGAAGGACAAGGGCCGCATCCGGATAAAGATGGCGCCTCCCACGCCGCTCTTGGCAGGTGGGTTCAGAATAAATCAACCAGACTCATCCTCTGTCAAGATGGTTTTCGTTGTAAAGCTTGTTGTGAGGTCTGGTAGAGGCCCGAGAATATCACAAAGTGGCGGCAATTTTTAGTCGGATTTTATATAACCTACACTTTTTTGGGGGGGGGGGGGGAGGTTTTTCCCTCCAGTGATCTGTGCCTGTGCACAGGTAATACGTGCATGGCGAGCGTAGGCTTCTAAAGGGAAAAAGTTGTTGGGGAAGAATATTCGGTTGCTTGCATATACAAAGGCTTAGACAGAAGCATCTCTCGAGGGAGCTGTATCTGAAATATCGGACTTCCTTACATTCTATCAGTTATTCTGTCAAAGAGTCTGGGTTCAACCAGAACGGGAAAAAGTTACTTTTTGAAAAAATGATAGTTTTAAGCTACAGACATTACTAAATGCATTGTATGTACCCAAAATGTTCATTTATCCTCACTCAGCACATTTGTGCTCATTCGGAATCTAAAGAGTCTAGATGCCTTCTCACTCGCCCAAGACTTAGAGAGAAGCCAGGTTTGGAATATGCTAATACTTTCCCCATCTTTTCCATCTTAATTTCCTCTGTTTATTATCACCTACATAATTTCCTCCTTCCACTTTTTTTGAGTGGTAACTCCCCAGAATGATATTGCTTGCTCATGAATTCCTAAAGGCTCTTTTTTGGTTTGGCAGATTTCCTCCTTATTACAGAAGCTGCCCAGCCTCTACCTGGCCCTAATTTACTAGTACGTGCCAGATGATCAGATAATTGCTGAACTCTCTTGCAGCATACTCAACTAATGGTGAAATGCTTGATGTCTGCTGTGGTACTAAAGTCCTGCTTAGGATTATGCTGGGGCCTTTCATCTGGTATATTCATGCATGCCAATAAAGGAGAATATTTGTACTCAGGGTTGAAATGAGGGATCTTTGGTGCACACTGAGCTTGGTTGTTTTCTTGCAGATATTTCATTACCCAAACTTGTTAACATCATCAATACTAGTAGTCTGATGATACCCAAAGTAGATAATGGAATGTCTGCAAGAAAACAACCAAGCTCAGTGTGCACCAAAGATCCCTCATTCATCCATGACTGAGGCTGCTTTTTGGCTCATGCTATACTCTTTAGAAAATGTCCTAGCTTGTCAGTGAAAGCAGTTAGTACTACAAAAGTCCTAAGAGCTCAAAATTAGAGAGTGGAGTCGTCATGTATGCAACCATGCTTTTCTCTGGCATAAATCATTCAGATTAGAATCCTGAAGCAGAGCTATATCTTGAAATTTGTATAATTATGTAATTCTGAATTCAAGTAAAGCAGTGTATTAAATTCATGTGAAGATGTGTTTGAATCCAACCTAAACTGGTTTTACATTTATTGTATTTTTCATTTTCAGTGTTCTTTGATGTTTTATATTAGTTTGCATCACAATTATGTAGCATCTTAAGTAATCTTTTAAAATATTTCTGCAAAGCTAATGCCAGAGGCATGCTCCTAGATTTAATTTTAAATGCCTACCTTCTATTTTACTGGAGTTAATATGTAAATGAAATAACTAACAAAGTGACATTAGAGAGTAAGTGCCACTTCATGATATTTGTAATATTAATGCATTTGTACAGATTTCAATATTTGCTTAAGGTAATTTTATTCCAAGTCACTAGTTTTCTCTGGATTTAAGTCAGTATGAAAGCACTTAAAATAAAAGTGCTAAGTGGAAATAGTGAATGTGTTTCTCTTTCATTTTATATCATGCTAGAATATATTGTCACAAAGGAAACAGTGATATGTTAAACATTGGATTATTTTGGAGTATTCTGTGAGAGGGACAACAATTTGATTGATTGATGGGTGGCTTGTGGGTGCTTATAAGGAGCAAATTGAGACATACTCTTTTCCCATTGTTCTTATAACTAGTATTTTGAGGCATGCTGACTTCCCAACTTGGGGCTAATGGCAGTCGTGGCTAGAAGAGCACCAATTGAATCATTTTCTGTACTGTGCTCAGTTCTTCATGTCCTGATTATCTCCTGTTTGGATTCTTACAACTCATTCTACATGGGGTTGCCCTTGAAGAATATTCAGAAGCTATAATTGGTCCAGAATTATTTTATTTTATCTTACTTATTCAATTTATTTGCCACTATCTTGTTTTGGAGCAACTCTAGGCAGTTACAGAGTATGCAGCAGAATGTAGAGTTTTGATGTTGCCTAGTGTGGTACATGCACTGATACGTGAGATGCACTGGTGGCTGTTCTGTTCTGGGTTCAATTCAAGTGTTGGTCATTAGCTGCCTTGCCTCATTGGGGTTGGCCTGCTTCATTCATGCTGGCAAAAGATCCTATTGCAGACTATCAATCAAGGAATTGCGGCCAGTGAGGTCCAAGAGAAGAGCCTTTTTTGCCACAGCCTTCACCCTCTCGAACATATTGCTGCAGGTGGCCTTTCTGGCCTTCAGGAAATGCTTTAAAACCTGGATATACCTGTTGGCATAGGGCCTGAAGGAGGATGGACTCTAAACCCATAGTTTTTTGTAATTTTAATCTGCTTTTGTACTTATTGTTTTTACATCCATTTGTTTTATTATGTTGTAAGTGGGTTACAATTGCCTCAAACTGCAAGATGAGCACAATGTATATTTGATAAGTAAATAAATATGAGACTTCAGGTTTGCTTGTTCACTGATTGGCATGGTTATTACACAATATATATATTCATATTTTATTATTAAACTGAAATATGTTCATTTAAGTTATCATTTTCTCTTGTACGAAACTAAGGATTAATTTATTAATTTGGAGCAAAATAAACATGATTTATTATTTCATTATTTTGCTAGTACGAGGATCTGAAGGACTCTATATGTTGCATGGGTCACCTCATTTTACAGAGCATACAACATTTCAGAGGTATTTTAATTTTTGGCTTTATTAAATGTATACATTTTAGGATGTCTATTACTGAAAAATAATAACAGATAATCAGATACATATGTGGAGATTGGGAATGCACTGATGTACTGTTCAGTAGAGCTTAAATTTTGTAAATGTGAATGTACATTTCTACGGTAGTTGTTACTTCAAATATTACTCAGGTTTTTGTAAGAATCAGAATGTTTTGGACTATTAATTTACAACTTTGGGGGCTAATGTGGATAGGGCAGGACAATTTTGGTTATTAAATGGAAAATGAAACAATTCCATGTATTGAAAGAAGGGCATCTAAGCGTAGATAATTAGCACTTTTCTTTGCTCACATATCTGAGCACAGAAATGAAATAAGCATACTATTGACATACCATTGTGTTACTGGAATGCATACTTAAATCTGCATTTGGTTCTGGTTTGAGTGGGAGATATATCTCATCTGGCTTATTTCACCTCTGCTTTAGTTTGTCTGATCATAAAGTTTATTTCTTTTATATCAAAATAATAAAATTGTTAGAAGCATTTTTAAAAACTGATACTTTATATTTTATCTAAATTCTTTTTTCTTTATAAGAGTTATTTGAATTCCAATTTGTTTTGTTTTTGCTTTCAGGGATTCTGGGAAAAATGCAAAAGTGTTTACTTTCAACAGAGATGGATCCCTTTTTGCATGGGGCAATGGAGAAAAGTTAGTTTTTTTCTGTGTTTGGGGTGTTTCTATTTCTAATAATATATATTAAAAACATTGCTAAAATAAGCTCATTAGTTTTAGCCAGATACACCCTCTAGTAGGAAAGTATTTCACATTCTTCACTGTTATAAAGCAGGTAACTACAACTTTTGCAATCAGTAAAATATACTCTGTTTCATTTGGCTTCCTAGGAATTTGTCTTGGACGAGAATCATGATTGAATCTTTTTCAAACATATAAGGTTACATTTTCTGTGAGATTTGTAACCAGTTGCCTCTTCCTTTTATGAAGTGTATATAAGATTGATTTTAAAACCTGGCAAACTTCCTAAATTCTGTACTAGCGATAGGCCTATTTCACATTTAATGTGAATTTTAAGATTTTATTTTATTAAAAATTGACAAGCTTCAGATATTTCCATTTATTAATTGATATATTAGGAATGGGAAAAGATATAATGGACTTGGCTATACTGGTATATTTATTTACCAGTATTTATTTACACTATCAAGTGACTGGGTAGCCTACAAGATAAAACAATTTAAAATATTGAAATGATAAATATGGCAAATATTAATATTAACAAAAATTAGCAAAAGAAGGAACCAATATAAAATAGGGTAAAGATGGAGCCTTCTTTTAATTCACTAACCACTTCCAGTTATGGGACATCCCAATAGGGCCTCGTGCCAGGTTTTAAATGACTGGTTGTGAGTTGAGGACTATCCGTGCTTTGATGGGATGTGAGTACAAATTATTTTTATATTATGATATTTTGGGTAAGTAGGGTACCTCTTTGCTGAATTTTATATAGGTAGTACAGTATTCTCTCCCCAATTATGTCTACCTGTCCCATTAGGTCTGATAACAGAGGATGCTCCCTCTATCAGGGAGTGTGAATGGCAGGGCCCAGCAAGAAACACTTTTCTATTGTGGCACCTGCCCTTTGGAACATTCTCCTCTCAAACATTTTAGATTGCCTCAACTCTGTTGGCCTTTTGCAAGATGACTGGGCTTGGGGATCCAGATTTGTGGCAGAATCTGTGCAATGGCTATGTTGCTTTCTAATTACATTGGTTTTTTATACTGATATTTTTATGGTATTTTTAATTGTTATTAGCTCAGATTCATAAATTTGATGGGTGACCATATAAATTAAATGAATAAACTAATGAATAAAGAAATACATTTTCATAAAATATTCCAGCGGTAAGATTAACCAAGATAAATTTTGCAAACTTCTCTTAGATTTCAATGTATCACACAATGATGTAATAAGTATAAAGAGTTGGGTTTTGTAGTTTCCACTGATTATATTAAATGCTTGGGACTGTCTCTCCCACAGTAGTTGCCTGGCTAGTTCTAATTAGGGTTGGTGCATTCTGGGTTTCATCGATTAAACAATGCCATCTCTCTGAACCCGACATCTTCTCTGCAACAGCACCCTATCTTCTGGAATGAAGTTCAAAATTCAAAGGGCTCCCAGCCTACTAGTGTTTCAAGGAACCCTAAAGACCTGGCTTTTGCCAAGGCCTTTGGCTATTTGCCAAGGCCTTTGGTAAAGATAACTGATATCCCTTTCTCTCCCCCCCCCCCCAGGTTGTTATGGTGTTTTTTATAGGTTTTTGTATTTGTAAAAATATTTTTAATAATTGTAGGTCACCAGAATCGCAGAATTGTAGGTTACCAGAGTCCCAGAATCACTAGGAATTGGGTGGCATATAAATTTCGTAATTTATAGTTGGTCAGCCAGATGTTTAGATTAGATTTTGCATTTTTATCTGTCGAGCCCTTCTCAAGAACCTGAGGTAGGCAGATTTTGCTTGAGGTGTTAAAGGTATTGTAGCAGGATGTAAGCTGTCCAAGTAAAATTGCCTTTTGCAATTGACTGATGGTCTTCAAGTGCTGCTACAGATATTTTAGAATTGTATCCAAGTTTCCTAATACTATAGGTACTGTATTTGCTTTCTTTAACCAAGGGAAAAAAGGGGAGATGTGGTGTATCAGAGGGGAAATGATGTCTACCTACCTTGATTCTCAAGGACCCCATCCATGTGTACAAGTTTGGAAACTCTGGAGTTTTATATTTATATTCTAATTTATTCTAATTATGTTTTGATGCTTTATGAATTATTGTATTGGTGAAATATCAAGCAACATAGTAACTGGAATAATGAATCTGTTTTCTGTGATTGGGAACTGAGCTAATTTAGAAGGAATAGCTAAATAGCTATTAATTAACCAGAGTAATCAAGTTTGACTGAGCTGACCTCTTTTGCTTGCAGAGTAAACATTGTAAATGTCACCAACCACAACCTGCTGCATTCTTTTGATCTGCCCAAGGCAGTTTGCCTTGAATTCTCCCCAAAGAGCAATGTCCTTGTGACATGGCAGCTTTATACAAGTGAGTATTCCGGCGACTGCAAACATGACAGCAACCATGCCAATTTTGAATAATATAATGATCAAGTAATTATTATTTTTTGTTCTGAATTGGAACATTGAAAATATGGAACCTCTGAGGAAAAGAGGATTCATTCCAAAGCAGCAAAGAAATGTGCATGACTTGGCTTATGTTTCCTTTTTCTGACTTCTCAGAACCAATCCCCACATCTATTTCCTTGACTTAAATATATTATTTCATATTGTGAACTCTGGGACAGTAGAGAAGATGTACTGATTTTCTTCTGTGCGATATTCTTCAGGTATTTAATTTCTGTGCAGCCCACAGTCACCATGTTGGGGAGATGGGCAGCATAGAAATTTAACAAATTTAATAAATAAAAATATTTCAAGGTGTACTGCACATTTCCATGTATCTCTATACTTCTACACTTAACAAACAATCTAGACCCCCAAGGCCTAATCATATGTGATATTATTTCCTTTTTCTAAAGGTGGGGTGGGAAGAATGTGATTAACCTTTTTATGCTGCACTGTTTTACAAAATGGCTTCACTGCAAAGACAGAAAAAGGACATTGGTGATTTGTAATACTACCTATTCTCTCCATTACCTTCTCTATCTTTGGCAGTTAAGATGATATTGCAGAAAAAAACAGTATAAGTATTCTTCAAACACAAAAGTATTTTTCTGTCTGCAAAAGGGTTGACAACTGAGGATTGTCTTACCCAGTAGTATAGTGAATTTCATCTTAACAGTGGCAAGAATAGTTAATTTTGATTTGAGAGGAAGAAAACTATCACTGTTAGCAAATATTACTTTGTACTTCACAAAAAGGGAGAATAGGAAAAAAGCTCCTTTTCTATAAAAGATTTGCAGC